TAGTTCTCAGAATAGAGTGTGGGATACATTTTTAGCTTTTTGAGAAAAAATAGGTTTGTCTTGCAACTGGAGCTACTTAAAGCTCAATGGCTCCCCTTAGTGGTGTCTTTTAAGAATTTCACTAAGCGGTAGCTTTTCTAAAGACCTACACACAACACAGATGTTTCTATCCAGAAAATCACGGGCTGATATTTATATTTTAAGTAATTTTCAATAAATCAGTCCTATTTTTGATTATATGGAAGTAACCTTTTTATGCATAACCTTGTTACATTTAAAAAGGTAATTGAGCATTTTCTATGGTTTCCATTTTCATTTGGAACTTAAATATGTAATACAAAACTTAGGAAAAATAACTCATCATTTTCTTCTCTCTTTGTTCCCTTTACATCTTTATGCTTTCTAGTTCATATTTCTACTTGAACAGGTTTTTTAAAGACAATTAGCAACTAATTTTTATTTTGTATCTAGGTACCTATGTCCAATGTACCTAATCAGAAAACCTGCCTGAAAAATTAGTAACAACATGCCTGACTGGCGTGGCTGAGTGGTTGAGTGTTGACCTATGAACCAGGAGGCCCCGGTTCAATTCCCAGTGTAGGGTGTGCAGGAGGCAGCCAATCGGTTATTCTCATCGTTGATGTTTCTATCTCCCTCTCCCTTCCTCTTTGAAATCAATAAAAATATATTTTAAAATATTAGTAGCAACAATAAGCCAAAAATATTTGCTATCCATTGGGAAAATATATAAGAAATTAAATGAGAAATTATATGATGTGAAATAAATTTTGAGAGTATATATTTAAGAAAATTGGACCATCTGTTGAGCTCCCGCTATGGTTCTTAAATGTGCTGCACATCAGAATAGAATGGGGTGAACCTGTCGTTAACTATAGGTTCCTGGACCCATCATTAGAACTACTGGATCATAATCTCCAAGGGTGAGGCCTAAAACTCCGCGTTTTTAAAAGTCATCTATGCTTGGAAACCTGGCCTGCAAAAGGCCCTAGGAAGTGCCTTCATAATGACTCTATTTTTGTATTAATGAAACATTAATTTTAGAATCCCCAAAATGTCAGTCACCTATTCAATTACGTGGTTCTGGTTTGCAACAAAATCTTAGATAATATGTGGCTATATCGTCTGAATACCAGTCACTGCCTATACTCCTGTATGGATTCTTACTACTTACAGAAGTATTTATGAAACAGGAAATAAAGTTATATCTCAAAACATCTTGTTGGCCTTTTTGAACTAGTCACAGAAACACTGCAACTCTGCCCTGCTCTCAGATTCTGATACTTGCCCTTCTCCAGTTTTCAGAACCACTGGTCCTCAGGACAAACTCCCAATATGGCAATCACGCCCTGTATATCGTTCCAGTTTCTCTGGGTAATATCCTATATATAAACCATGATCAAACCAAGGAAGGCTACTTTCAGTTTTCCAGATTCACCATGTCCTTGCATGCCTTCATGCTGCTGACACGGCCCCTCAGACCTTCTTCCCTCATCATCCTGGGAAGCGCTCACTCATTCTTTAAGGCTCAACTCAAACATCACCCCATCTGGGGAGTCTTTCTCCATCTCCACTGGCAGAGTTCAGTGCTCTCCTTTCTGCGCTCCCAAAAGGATCTTGTGCAGACCTCTATTTCAGTATTAGCTTGTGACTCTCATTATTGTGTCTGTCTCCATGTCTCTCTTGTATCTCCATGTTTTAGCACAATTTTTAGCATGGAGTCGAGGTTTAATTCATGTTTGTGGAATGAGTTAATGACATTAGCTTTCACTTCTCCTGTGATTAATGTGTGCCAGGCACTACGCTAAGTGCTTTGCAAGCATCTTGTGTAATCCCTACAAAGTTTAACATGTATTAATGATTATCTACATTTTAAATATCAGGCAATTAATTCTGAGAGATATCAACAATGTTGAGTGCCAAAAGTCAAACAACAGGTAGTGGCAGACCTAGAATTTGAACACCATGTTATTCTGACTCTAAAGACAGTGGTCTACAGCATGACCCCATAGTGCTTCCCTGTAGGAGCTCAAATTGTACTTGATTACTAAAGGAAATTTCCCTTTTGATGGTTTCTACCCAAACACCACTCTTTTAGCTAGAACAGTAAGGGAAGATGAACATTCTTTTAATCATAAGAACGATCTACAGCCCAATTCTGGGGCACGTGTGCATGTACACACACACACACACATAATCAATGAATGAAAATACAAACACATACATGTAAGATTGTGATAACTGGAATGCTTAGTTTGCAAAATTACCCCAAAAAATATAAAAATAACTATTGACCACATCAATGAAAAGTCACCAGAAGAGAAAAAGGAGGCCTCTCTAATGAAAACCTTGCAAAATTTTCCAAATTGCACATGATTTTTAATGGACTACAGCGACTCTTCTGCATTTCTATTTTATTTCTTGGACAAGAGGAAAATATATTATTTATGCAAAAGGGTAGTTAGTGTTTCCAACCACGAACACATGGCCTGTAAAAAATAATAATCCCATTTTTCTATTGTGCAATAGCTCTCTGTTGGGCAACAACAATGTACAATGTGCTAGTTTCCTGTTACTTTACTACAGCCTTCCCTTTCACTCACCGCCCAGACTAAATAGCTATTCCTTGGATTATAAAACTATAATACAAGCTACTTCCAAAAATGTTTCTGCCTGTCTTAAGAAATAATCATATCAGTTTGCTAATAAGCAGAAATGCACTGTAAGTTGAGTATGTTGTCACAAGTGGCTAAAAAACATATAAATCAATCTGTGACCAGGAAAAAAACAATATATTAGTTATGTGTTCAAAACATTATGGTTGGGATCACAGCTGTAAGATGTTGGACCATCATCAAGAGAACAATGTCAAACACTGAACTTTTGGATGATTTCCATCAAAGTAACATTTTGTTTGGGGTCAGTAGTTTTTATGAAACTTTGGAATGATTTCCACTGACAATTTTTTTAGAGTTGAACTTGAACACCTCCAAAATGCTCCTCAAAATGGAAATATTATGTAATCTAACCTCTGTAGCCATGTCCTTCTGAAAACCAAGCACATACCATGAGAACCAGCATTTCATTCTTTCAATTTGTGAGGCTTTATGAAAATTAAACTATGCTACATATTCAGTACGGTAAATTTACTCTTCATTTTTCTCTGTTTAGTTACCAAGTGCAAGTCAACACTTCCAATGTGTAGTATTTAAAGCCAGTATCGGAGGAAAAACAAGACAAAACAAAACATGGATTTCTTCCACAGAATCTTATCAATCCAGACGTATTCTTTTAAGCGAAAAGAAGAATGGAATTAGTGCACCAGGCCTCATAGTCAACTCCAATATTTTTTTGTTCATCTTTACATATCCAAAACAATTTGATATTTGCTGTACAGTGGTCTGAATTCCCATTTTCATGAAGTTCATCTTTACATATCCAAAACAATTTGCTGTACAGTGGTCTGAATTCCCATTTTCATGAACTGTCCTTTTACAGTCCAGAATTTGGAGGTGTGTTATGTTGAGCCTAACAAGGCAGGTTTTCATAAAGTAACTGGAAGCTTTTGTAAATATAGTCTCAGACAAAGCTAGTTGTGGCATAAAATCATTAATCCAAGGAGATTGTATTGGCCGAGTACACATATGCACTATTAATAATATTGCTCCCTGGGATTCTGAAACCAGAGCTCAAGGAAAGGAAAGCCAAACCACTGAATTCAATATTTGCAGCCTATTTCAGGACATGAAAATATTTTGGTTCTCTCATGCAAATAATTTCCCCAAAATACCTTTGTCCAAAGTAGCTTTTTGTAGACAGAGACTAATATCAAATTTTATATGGCTTAGTAGGTGGGAACATGAGTTATAAGAATTTGTTCTACATCAAGGAATAGTCGGTTCCTAATTTTCATTTACGATGATAATTAGTTATTTCTCATTGGGATTTATGTATTAATGGATGCTCCTAAAATCATGCTCTCAGAAATTATTTTACATTGTTGACTGTATATGTAAAATGTTTACATGGTAGTAAAACATCTAGTTAATTCACTATTTGGAAATAAATAAAAACAATCGATCCTATTTGATGCCAGGCTCATGCATTTTAATTATATTATTCTCTTCTAAAATGTTCAGCCATTCTTCAATGCCAACAGAAATTCAGTTCTTTACTCAGGCTCCAGTCTACCTCACAATATGCCTTTCCACATAAAAAGCTTTAAAGTCATGTTGATCCCACTTTGTAAAATGCCTCATAGTGTGAACCTGACTTAAAATCTTTGCCTCAGTCCCAGCTTAATGTCAGAGACCTCCATGGAAGCCAATAAATATACAATAATTAACGGCTCATTTGATTGAATGATACACAATGTCCCTGCCCTTGTAGCTTCTACTATAGGGTTATTGGTGTTATAGTCACCACTGCCCCTGGAAATTAAGATCAACATACAAATATTCATGTTAAAGTTATCCTGATATTCTTCATGAACTATTTTTTGCATATTTGTTATATAAATTAGTTCTAGTAGATGGCATGCAGATATTGACAGATTGCAAATATGTAAATGCTACTTGGAAATTTTTGAATATAAAATAGTGCCTTAATAGGAGCCAGATAATATATACTCACTGATAAATTTCTTATGTGGCAAGAAATCTTCAAAACTTTCTATTAAATATCCATAAGTAACTATCAAGTAAAATATTACCAAACTTAAAACAATAAAATCCTCTAGAGTTCAGAACTATTATCTACTAATTGCTTCATTATATTTTGTATGTGTTTCATGTTTATATGGCTTGAAATATAATATGAACTTAAGAAAGAGTAGTTGAGTGAATGGTTTTATATAGTAGATATTTGGTATCTATGAGTATAGTATGCAACCCAAGAGAAAATCAACTCGTTTTTAAAAACTTAGAATAACCAAATAGAACATAATTGAATGTATTTTTTAAAGGCGTATCCTTTCATTTCAGGAAAAAAAGGAAGGGAGAGGAAAAGAAAAAAACTTAATAAAGAAGAAAATAAGGACGCAGTGCCTGATAACAGAGGTCTGGAACCCAGCAGAGAAACCCCAGAACAACGAGAAAATAAACAGCAGCAGAAGAAGCGAAAGGTCCAAGACAAACAACAGAAGTCGGTATCCGTCAGCACTGTGCATTAGAGGGTCCCATGAGATTGTCGTAGATTCGTGATGCTGCTATCTCCACCAGATGCCCAGGACAGGGGGAGCACCAGGACAGGTGCTCTAGCCATTAGGATCACAAACGGACAATGTGTCAGTTACTGCTCGGTCCAAACAACATTCCAAATAGTTGTTTTATCTTCATACAAGCATAATTACCAACAACAGAGCCCAAAGTTCAAAGAAGGGATGCTTTCGAGTGGTTATCGTACTTGCTTCTGCACATTTTTAAGAGACAAGAACGTTTGTACATAATCCTCAATAGGCTATAAGTTCTAACAACCTAATGATGACATCTGGAAAAGCAACATCTTTTCCCTATTAAAAAAATATTTTTTCAAGCTATTATTTTAAGAAGCAAAAGATAGTTCTGCAAATTCAAAGACACAGTATCCCTTCAAAACAAATAAGAGATCAGGGGAGAGACACATCTTTCAAAGGACAGTGTTGTCTGTCCAGGAGATCTAGAGAGTGCTCCGATGCTAGGGCCTGGCATTTGGAATCCTAAGAACTATCACCACAGAAACAACTGTTTTCAGATCAGTTCTATTGCCCTCGTCCTGTCCGGCAAGAAGCATGAGAGTGCACCTAGAGTTAAATATACTGTCTGGGACTGGAGAAAAGCAAAATGTGGAAGAAACCATAGAGTTGGAGATGACTTTTGTGCTTTCCAAAACTGTGAAGGGTTGTGATTCCCCGGAACAGGCCTCCAGTCTATGTCAGCACTGTGTGGTTCAGCCTCTGCTACCCCTTGGGTTATATAAGTCTGTAAACATGTACCTGTAACTTACTTCCAAAAGCAAAATCATACTTATTAGAAGATTCTGATTCATAGAACACAAAAACTAGAGCAAGGAGAATATAACATGTTTGCAAAGTTATGTGTTTTCTTTCTCAATGAGGGAGAAACCATTTTATTACCTGCTTAATGGTCCACCTGAACTAAAAAGGATACTACTTTCTAACAAGGTGTATCTAGTAGGGGGGAAAGCCACCACAATAAATATATTTGTTGATAGTTTTTAAAGTTTGGTTCATTTTGTTTTATTGGAAAGTTGTTTCTCTTACAGTCTCGTGAATTAGAAAAGATAATTCTACATCCTATGTAAGTCAGAACATATTACATTTCGATTGCTTTTTTTTTTAATCCATCTTTGGACATGAGCCAATGGAGATTTATTTATAGTGTATTAGGAGATATTTATTCAATTTATATTTATTTTTCTTATTTTAATCAACAAAATTCTGGTTATAGATGTAAAGGCCTTCCTAAATTATTGCACTGCTTTATTGCTTAGAAATTCGCATCTTTTCTTGTATGTTGGTTTCTCCTGCATCGTGAACATTTGACCTTTTCTTCTCCATATTTTCTCAGTCTCTGGACCTCTTTCGGGGATTGAAGTCACCTTAGCTGAAGGCCTCACAGAGGACACAGCCAGCCTAGGGCAGGAAGAGGCACCTCAGTGTGCAGCACAGAATCTCATGACCTGCCTTACCCTTCCTGTTGTCATGGAAGGAGGCACAGCTGCTCTGTCCACCATGCTTCCTATCCCCCCAGAGGTCACTGCTTTCTGAAGAATTTGCAATGAACTGGGCTTCTGACTGCCTATCACTGGTCACTCTTTCCCCACCAACTGCACTGTCATGTGGACTGATGGGCTTACTTTCATTTCCACTTCTCTTTTGCTCTCCCAAAATACAAACAACTTGAATGATGTATTCCTGTTTCTTACTCTGGTGATTTTTTTGTCCACGAGAGAAAAGTGTTTCAACTAAGTAGATCTAGTCCCAATGTATAAATATAATTCTATCTTCAACTACAACTTATGTTTCCAGGGATAACCAAAACCTTTCCTACAGAGCTAGGATAGGTGGAAGTATATTCCCCTGTTATAGAATTTTTGCTTGGATTCAAACACCATCTTTGTTCTCAATCTTATCTAGTCAGGCATAGGTGGCCAAATTATTTTTGTGTATCTTTTTATGTTTGTCCTTGTCTTCGATATTTCAATAAGCAATTACTGGGAAAGTCCATGCCTGTATTTGCAGTGCTGGAAAGGGGTTAAATAAATCAGGACCCAAAAATGTGGCACATGACTATCATGTCTTCTCATGTGTTTTGACAAGACTTTGACCCTGTGGTCTTCCAGACAATGGCACACCATCTAAATCCTTGATGCAATACTTAAAAGCAGAAGTATTACAAAGGAAAGTGAAATAAAAACTAACATTAATATTTATACACTAGCGGCCTGGTGCATGGATTCGTGCACCGATGGGATCCCTCAGCGTGGCCTGTGGGGATTGAGCCAAAACTGGCAGTCCAACGCCACCTGGCGCTCCTGCCTGCCGCTTCTGCTCATCCTGGCTCTGCTGCGCCTGCCCTGGGCTCGCACCCAGTCAGTCCTGATGGAGAGAGGCTCACAGCACTCTCCAGCCATGAGCCCTGCATCTGGCGCCAGTCCTGAGGGGTGTGAAGGGGGCCAGGACGTGATCAGCCCTCCAGGCGGGCAGTAGGATGCCCTTGACAGCCTGGTATCCGGTTCTGTCCTGCTGATGTTCACGCCGATTGTCCGGAGCCACCTGGCAGCCGCTTAAATATCATTTCTTCCTTGCGGAGCATCTAGGGAGGGGAAGCAGCCATGGTGCCCGAGGCTGACTTCCAGGAGGCCGGCAGTGCTGTCAGGATTGTGCCAGAAGCACCAATCCATTGGTGTCTGGCCCGTTCTCTGGAGATTGGACCTGCAGGACTACTGAGGGAGTGAGTGGCTGCTAACTGGCTGGTGGGCCACCAGGACATGTCGGTCAGCTGAGCAGCACTCCCACCGTGGGAACACACTGACCACCATGGGGCAGCTCCTGCGTTGAGGGTCTGCCCCCTGGCGGTCAGTGCGCATCATAGCCACTGGTCGTTTGGTAGTTCGGTCACTTAGGCTTTTATATATATAGATTGGGTGAAATATAACTGCAGAGAAAAGTAGCATCAATTTTAACTGCAATTCTCAATTCATCTTTAATAGATCTGTAGGCACATGGAATAGTTATGACCTTTATACTAGCGGCCTACTCAACTTTGAGCAAAAACTTGTGATCAACTTCTGGTCACAGAAGGCATTAACTTTCTGCTCTGATTCTGTCTCTAAGATCTGGTAAGCTGTTAATGGTAACAGATGGCTGGTAAATTCTTGGCACAAAGAGAATTGAGAGAGTAAAGCAACATGAATCTGTCTATGTCTGATCCACACTCTTGCTCTGGTCTCCAAACTCTGCTTTATAACTAAGGAAAGGTCTCTGTTCTATCAGCCGATCTAGGTTCTAGTCCCAGGTGCTAACCACGGGCAAATCACTTACTGCTCTTGGTCCCCATTTCTTAAACACATCATAGAAGTGGGAGGCTGGAGATGATCTCAGTAGGGGAGGATGTGACACTTCTGTTAGTTCAAGGTGATATCCCTAACTAGTCCTTATTAACAGCAGTGTCCTTTGGGTTTCCCAACTTGCTTTTCTACACTTAGAAATGTGTAGGCTCTCAAAGTATACAGATGTATACAGATTAAATTCCACTACTCTGATGTTATTAAATTAAAGGTTATCTACACTAATAGTTTTTAAATATTGCCATGAATAACACTGAGAAGAAAAGAAGAAATGCATAAATATGGCTCATGCCAGGAACAGAGGAGGATTCCCACAAAGAGAGATAAAAAAGAAGGTAGGAAAGTCACCATAGCTAAAATTAGACAGCCGTGTTAATAGCCCACTTCTGTTATTTGACTGGTTATATCTTGTGTGACTTTGGGAGAGTTGTGTGGTCTCTCAGAGCTTCTATTCCCCATTTCAAAAAAGAAATGGAAATGCCAATCTTGCAAGGTTATTATGAGAACTAAAAGGTTAATCACTCATTATAATAATAACTATACAGTATATAAATACCAATGGAAAGCAATAACTATTTCCACAAGTTACACATAGAAATTAATTTTATTTCTTGATTAGTAATACATGTTAATATCCATGCAAGTGTAATAATTTCAAGGATCCCATGGATATACTTTAATAGCAGAGGGACCCAGCAGACTCTTTCTCAATTATAATACAAATAGAATAATCTGGAAGCCAATATAAATCCATCTTCCTCTGCAATGATAAGGTTAAATAAAGCTGGTGGTTAAATCAAATGAGATTTGTCCCATTCCAAGCAATGATACTTTATCTCACTAACTTCATATGCATTACTGTTTTTATTATATTACTAGATTTATTAGAAAAAGTAACAAAAAATTGTCTATATCTCTTTTCTGCGAGCCACTTACCATTGACTAAGTTATATTGTGTAATTATCACAAAGGCCCACTGAGAGAGTTATTGACATTCTTGTTTTAAACATGAGGAAAATGAGGCACATAAAAATATCCAAAGTCACACAGCCAGCATTCAGCGAGCATGGAAGTTACTCCCAGCTCTTCATGACTCCAAAGCCCACACTCCTTCTCTGTATCATATTCCTTAAAACCATATTTATGATTAGTTCCAAGAATGTCCGTGACACACATTATGGAAGTACTTTCCTATGATCTGAACCAGACTTCATGAAGGAGAAGACTGTAAAGTCAAATCACAGAGCTCTCAAGCCAGGATAATACTCTCCTCTGAATCTGAACCCACAAGTGACTGTGTGTGTGTGTGTGTGTGTGTGTGTGTGTGTGTGTGTGTGTGTGTGCGCGCGCGCGCATGCTCCAGATGACCTGTGGGCTGGCTAGTGGGGCAGTGAATGGGATGGGAGAAGGCAAGTGTGCTTGGAGGAAAAAGGAGAAATGAGACTTATGTGCCATCAGAAAAAGACCAAAATCAGACAGAAAGGGATAACAGATATGGCTCCTGGAAAGAGTTCTGTATTACTCTTACCTTTGTAACTGCGGACTGGCTCTCAATTCAGTTCTCTTCCGGTGTGAGCAGGATATTTTCCCGCACTATCATCTTTTCCCTGAGTCTCTGTTCAGAATTGTATCGCTGCAGGAAGAAACATCAACAAATCTTTTCTATCAGAACTGCCTGAACAACTTCGTTCAAACATGCCTCACTTTCTCTCAGCTCCTTCAGATATTCAACGTCAGTATTTTAATCATCACATACCTTTTCTTGCCCATTCTGCCTCTCAGGTAATTCAAGGAGTAACATACCCATCATCTAAACAGGTAAAGAAAAAATGAAAGAAAGGAAAAGAAGACAAGCAAAAAATAATAACCACTTTTCTTCTATTCATAAAAATACAGTTGTAAAGAGAATCTCTACACTAGTAGGAATATTCCATTAGCTGGAAAATTGGTAATAGTCATTTCAAAATACAAAATTATATGACCCTAAAACAATCTGATAAAAAAAAAAGTTGGAAAAATATCTTACACTTCCATATCTATAGGTGTGTGAAATGGAAAATATTGCTCAAATGATGTTTAGACAGTCCAAGATACTAAATCATCTACCAAAGACTAAGTATTACCTTTAAAAACAGAGAATTAGAAAATGCATATTAGAAATATTTTTTTAAAAAGCTGAGTAATCATTGTAATTATCAATGTTTTCTGGCTAATTAAGTTTTAACTGATGTATTATTGAATTATCCCTATAGAATTTTCATCACAAATAGATTTTAAGCAAGAGTCATATTTTTTCAACCAATTGAGTAATTAATTAACATTTACAGAGTCATCTATGTTTATAATAAAATCTGAAATGATATAATACATTTATAGGTGCTTGGAATTGTAAAGCACAATAAACATAAGCTACTATTATTGCTAGCCATTTACTAACTACAGCAACAGATTTCCTTTCCTTTTGCCATTGCTCACACGTTGACTCACTGGAGACTTTATTCTCAGAGGAAATGATCCATGTCCTTCCCTGGAAGGAGTTAACAGAGGCACTAATTCCTGCACGCACATATTTGAGAATGCAGCATGCAGCCGTTCCCACCGCCGTATTTTTCTGTA